TAATTAATTATATCAGGAGTTAATAAAGACAAATTTGTCTTTATTAACTCCTGATATATATGTATGAAACTCAACAGCAATTCATAATATTCCCTTTAAGCTGCCCCGAAATCAGACATTGCCATATAAACCAAGCAGAACCAAGGGCGATGAATTAATGTTAAGATAAAGTCAATAGATAACAAATTAACCCTGACGGCTGTATACACACGGCGATGACGCAGACAATTAAACGCCTAAATTGCTTACAAGCATTTGCCTGTAGGTGCATCGTTACACATCATGTGTAGTGCTGACTTGTATTGTTTGATGCGCCGGTAACACAACTTTGTTTATTAAAAATATCAGGTTATGCAGTGAGCTACATGCCTAGAGCATTTTACACATTCGTTGATTTCATGGCATGCGGTCGATGACATCGGCTACTCAAAGTGCGACGAACCTCGAAACGCGTGAGAAAATATTTCGCGACTTAAGGAAGGAAATAAAACGAATAATTACTTCCGCATCAATGCTTGATTCTGGCAAGCAATTAGCTCGAGTGTCTTCGGGAGTAATACGCCTACGCACTGTGTATAGAGGTAACAGTCATATAAGAAATATATCAAGAGGTGATTATACATACCATTGACGTCTCACATATACCGGGTTATTCTCAAATATCATGAATCACGTAACGCAGTCACCACAGCAACATGCCTGCTCGTATATCCGCGCATGCACAGCGTGTGATACGTCCAAGGGGTTTCGTGTAGCAAAATCCGACCGAATCTGATAGGTGAGGAAAGCGCCGGTGTATTATATAGTGAGGGAACAATTTATGTGCTCGTCTCACGCGTCCGTGCGTCTTCACCGTGCGTCTTCACAGAGTGTGACGACCATATATTGTCGTCTCGCTTAATCATTTGCAGCTGCGATCCGGCAAGCAATCCTCCAATCGACCGGAATTGCAATTTACGGCATTACCTCCGTTCGATATATAAATATATAAGCCATATATCCGTATTAGGGTTTTGCGGGGAATTACTTTTAATTGATCCGCACTCGCGACGAGTATGTCTCAGGTGGTGTGCTGGTAAATGAAATACCTATCTGGACATAATTGCATAGGGCGCAATTAGGTGAATATATCGCCACCTGCGTCACATCGCGCGCAGAGATATCTCAACTGTTTGCGTATGAACTTCATCGTAAATTATTATGTAATCTCATCAAGATTAATTATTCGGGCGTAAGCTACCATGCCTAGGCATGTGCCATACGAATGCCGTATATGTAAGGTGACTCAGCTATAGATTCATCAAGAAAGCTGCATGAGCACGCGCCAAGGCATGCATCTCGTTATCGCAGCCATGCTAGTAGCAGTCGCATTATGTTAGAATTAGCATTAGAATAGCAGTCGGTCGAGGTAGAATTTTCAGTGGCACAGTTTGTTGCTGTGTGGGTGTGGGCGTGGGTATACTCCAATAAAGATTCGTAGCACCGCGTTTGATAACCCCTCGATCGCCCCCGCTCCTATGACCCCTCCCACGCACAGGCAATCCACGCCGGCCCGATCTATAGTCCTACGGGTCATTGGTCCTACGGGTCGTTAGTCCTACGATTAATAGTAAGAGGGGTAGAGAGTGAATGCAAATTGAACTGTTAATTTTTTTTTAATTTAATTTGGTTTATTAAATTTAAATTTAAATTTATTTATATTAAAATTTATATTATTTTAATATATTATCAAAAAAACAAAAACACGCGTGTGTGCCTGCGTGCACCAACAACCCGTTTTTTAATTTTTAAATTTTTTTATTTATATTAAAATTTACATTATTTTATTATATTATCACTGTGCAGAAACAGCAGAAATATAGAGAACTATACAGAACTCCATATTTCTGCTTTTGTGCGCAGCGGCGCGCGTGCGGTGAGATTGTGTGTTGCAAAAGAGCATTTGAACGGCATTTACTAGTCGACAGAGAATATATAAACATTGCGACTTTGGTAGTAAATACATTTCGTGTTTATTTACCATCATTTTATGATTGAAACGTTCCAAGTGCCTGTGCTCACACGCACACAACCGGTCAAGGATACGGACGTAAATAAAAGAAAATCTACCGATACAGATAAGTATGTGTCATATGGTAGATAAAGTGGGAGCAAGCAAGAATGTGCTATTTGCACCATTCTCATTGGATATGATTTTGACCATGAAAAAAAGCATTATAGGAAACGGTTTAGGCCGCAGTGAACGCTAGGTTTTATGAAATTGTTAAGGTACGACCACACTTGGTATACCATCATAGTGAAAGCAGAAACAGAATGGGTGGAAATGAACTGGGAAAGAGAGAGTGCACATGATAAATATGGTGGAGGGTAGGGAGAGAGAGAGAGAGAGAGAGAGAGACAGAAAGAGAGAGAGAGAGA